ACCCTAAACCCTAAACCCTAAACCCTAAACCCTAGTTTTCTCATACGGAGAAACAACGATAACGCCATCAGCTCATGTTTAATTAGGGTTTAGGGTTTAGGGTTTAGGGTTTATGGGTGAGGGTTTAGAGTTATGAATTAAGGATATTTAGGGTTTATTATTTAGGGTTTATTGTTTAGGGTTTAGGGTTTATTTATTTTAGGGTTTACGGCTAAGCATTCAGGACCTAGGGTTTAGGGTTTAGGGTTTAGGGTTTAGGGTTTAGGGTTTAGGGTTTGTGTGGTTGCAGCCGTATGTATCAGCTCGGCAGGACTTGCGTGCAACAGAGAAGACGCAGAAGGAGCTGCAGCAGCGGCGTCAGCAGCTGCAGCAGCAGCTGCAGCAGCAGCAGCAAGAATACCAGCAGCAGCAGCAGCAACTCATCACCGAGGAAGAATGCAGCAGCAGCAAAACAAAAGAAATGAAAGAAAGAGTGCAGCAAGCAAAAGAAGAAGCAAACCAATTCTGGAGTCTACTGCCGTCGCAGCAGGTGCTGCTGCTGCTGCTGCTGCTGCTGCTGATGCTGCTGCTGCTGGTGGTGTTGCTGCTGCTGGTGTTGCTGGTGGTGTTGGTGTTGCTGGTGGTGTTGTTGGTGGTGTTGTTGCTGCTGCTGCTGTTGCTGCTGCAGTTGCTGCTGCTGTTGGTGTTGCTGGTGGTGTTGCTGCTGTTGGTGTTGCTGGTGGTGTTGTTGGTGGTGTTGTTGCTGCTGCTGCTGTTGCTGCTGCTGTTGCTGCTGCTTCTGTTGCTGCAGCTCCTGTTGTCACTAGCTGTAGCTGCTGCTGCTGCTCTCAGTCGCTGCTGCTGCTGCTGCTGCTGCTGCTGCTGGTGGATGCATGCAGGACTCTATAAAGCAGCTGCAGCAGCAGCTGCAGCAGCTGCAGGTGTCTATACAGCAGAAGCGAGCAGCACACGCGGAGCTGCTGCTGGCAGTGAAGGAGGCGCAGCAGCAAACAGAAGAAATGTTTCGTTCTTATCTAGCGAAAATTGAAGCGTGCAGGTAGGGTTTAGGGTTTAGGGTTTAGGGTTTAGGGTTTTGAGGGTTTAGGGTTTAGAGGGTTTAGGGTTTAGAGGGTTTAGGGTTTAGGGTTTAGAGGATTTAGGGTTTAGGGGGTTTAGGGTTTGGGGTTTAGGGGTTTAGTGTATGTAGGGCGTACGGGTGAGGGTTTAGGGCTTCTAGCTGACAATCTAGGGTTTAGAGGGTTTAGGGTTTAGGGTTTTGAGGGTTTAGGGTTTAGAGGGTTTAGGGTTTAGGGTTTAGGGTTTAGGGTTAGGTGTGTGTTGCTGCTGCAGACGTGCGCTGCCACCCCCCGCGAGTTTAAGAGAAACCCTCGCTAACAGCGAGAACAAACCCCCACAAACCCTGCAGCAGCAGCAGCAGCAGCAGCAGCAGCACAAGCAGCAGCAGCAGCAGCACAAGCAGCAGCACAAGCAGCAGCAGCACGAAGACGGAGAACAGCACCACAACAGGATGGGGCCCCCAACAGTCCTCGAGCCTCTTCCTAAACCCCTCTCCTGTGGTCTCAACTAAATATTAGGGTTTAGGGTTTAGGGTTTAGGGTCTAGGGTCTAGGGTTTAGGGTTTAGGGTTTACAGCCCCCCAGCAGCAACGCCAAACGGCTGCTGCACCACCACCTGCAGCACTAGGGGGCCCCCATACAGGGGCCCCCATTCAGCCCCCTTCTCATTTACATAAGAACACGCACCAGCATGGGGGCCCCCCAGGGGCCCCCAGGGGCCCCCAGGGGGGCCCTCAAGCCAGGGGCCCCCAAGCCAGGGGCCCCCAAGCCAGGGGCCCCCAAGCCAGGGCCCCCCAAGGGGGCCCCTGAGACAGGGGACTGCCGTGGGGCCCCTAAGCAGGGGGCTCCCCAGGCGGGGGGCCCCCCCAGGGGCCCCCCCAGGCAAGGGGGCCCCCCAGGCAGGGGGCCCCCAAGGCGGGGGAGGGGCCCCCAGGGGGCCCCCCTTGCAGGGGTAGAATATTTTGTTTGTTGGTGCTAACAAAATAAATAAATAAAGAAGGTGTTTTGTCTGGATGATTTATTTTTTATTTATTGTTTTTGTTTGTCTGTCTCCTTTTTGTTTGTCTGTCTCCTTTTTGTTTGTCTGTCTCCTTTTTGTTTGTCTGTCTCCTTTTTGTTTGTCTCTCTATCTATATGTTTACCTTTTCTCTTTTAGTTTCTGTCTCTGTATTTGTTTATTTTTTTTGTTTGCCTCTTCTTTATTTATTTGTCTCTTTTTTATTTATTTGTCTCCTTTATCTCCTACTTGTTTACCCTAAACCCTAAACCCTAAACTCCCCCTGAAAACCCCAAACCCTAAACCCCAAACCCTAAACCCCAAACCCTAGACCACAAACCCTAAACCCTAAACCCTAAATTTTTTGTTTCTCCGCGGTTCGTCTCCGCATTTTGTCTGCTAAACAAATCTCCATTTTGCAGCGGAGTAAAACATCCCAGCTAGCTAC